AAACTGTAACATTTATTGGGCACGGGTTGCCGCCTTCATGCTTCATAAGCATTTCAGGAACATGAATAAATTTATTTTCTGAACACAAAACAATGTTTTTATTTCTAAGGTCTATTGTACCTTGAAACAATCTTAAAAAATCACAACCGATAATAATTGGGTATGACAAATCCGCAATTAACAAAAACTCGTGTGAGAAAGAAGCATCCTGAACAAAAAATGTTAAATACGCTTGCAGCAATACTTTTTTAAATTTCGATTTGAAAGCTCCAACAACTCTAACCGCATTACAGGGAAAATGAGGAATTTCTTTATGGAAATCGGCCAACTGTTGCCAAATTTCCATCGAACAAGCTGTCACTGTACTTCCGGTGTCTATCATAGCCGGAAATGGAAATCCAAACAGAGTTATTAATATCACGGGAGACCTCGTATCAAGAAAATGCTGCTCAAAATCGCATTCTTCCAAAAGTTGCTCCTTCGGATTATTATTAACAAAAAAGTTAGGTGATGCCCTTTTTAAAACCGCCCCCACACTCGGACTTACATGTGGGGTAATAACTCGTTTCCCGACCCGGTTATTGCCTCATTCATCGAATCACCCTGTAGTTCGAGCGCTGAAATTTGCTTTACGCCAGTATTGTTACTCGCGTGATTTCTATCATTATTGAATCCGGAATGATTTCCCGTGCTATTTTGATTTCGAAAACCTCTATTTCCACTTTGATTTCGCCCAAAATGATTTGTATCTCTTCTGGGGTGAAAAGGTTGGACAGAACTTTGCGAATCAAAATAGTAATCGGCCTGTCTCAGTCTACTTACCGCTAGTAATAAATTATCAGCGCCTAATAAACTGGCCGAAATAGTTGGGGGAAAGTGCCTTGCAATAACTGAAATAAGTTGTTGTTCAGTATAGGGAGGATTTAAGTGACGTGCTAGGGATATTTTGGAATTGAAATAATCAACTAGAGATCCTGAACCTTCTTGGAATTTCCCTGATTCTAATCTCAATTTAACCCCCAGTTGCAAAGTATCACCCCAAAATTGTTCTAAAAAATAACATTTAAAATCAGCATACGAATTGAACATGTAGCTATAAACATCAAACCAGGTTTTTGCAGTTTTCTCAAACAAATTACCAATAAGAAATCTCAACTGATTAAAGGGGACGCTATTAGTGTCGAAACAAGCCTCGATGTTATTCAAGAAATCAACAGGGTGTAACCCTTCGTTATCAAAAGTGGGTAAAACTCGTACATCTCTCAAATCAGATACATTATTAAAAATTCTATTATTACTAGGCACATTTTGCACTAGTGAAGGTGGATTGTGATTTATAATATTAGGATTACTATTTGCTACACTACACTGTCCCTGATGGTTACGTGGATATCGCATATTTTGACATGAACTATTAGGTAGGTTCACATTTGAAGTATTGTTATGTGACAACTGACTATTATAGTTACGATTTACATATCTATTATCTGAAAACTGAAAATTTGGAACATGATCAAAATTATTTCTATACAAAAAAGTATTTTCCGGATAAATTTGAGAATAATTTGGAGGTACTGAATTTGTGGCAGGCAGTGTATATTCACTTTTGGGTTCGCGAACGAACCAGCTGTGGGCAAAAACGAATTTCTGTTGGATTCCTTATCTGCCTGGTTTTTATCACAATTAGAATAAAAAGTGGGTCTCTCATTTGACCGCAAATTAGGAACACAATTTGTGTTTACATGGATAGGAAAATGATTATCAACACTGTCTTTATTAATTAAATTTTCCTGATACGTATTCAAACCTGGATTTTGAAAAGATGACCTTGCACCAGTCCTACTGATGCATCCTGTCGAGCTATCCGATGACACCGCTGTGACTGCGGCTGCAGCTGCTGGTCCGGCGCCGGGTGGTGACGTCGTTGCTGGAGGCGTCGCGACGCTCCCGGAGATGTTCGCCGAGGTCGCGTAAGTCGCGTTGTCTTCGGGACGCTGCTCAGGAGGTAGGAGGTTCTCTCCTGCTGGCCGCATACCGTGTTTTTCAGCTCGCCGGTCGTTGCGTGCTCGGAAAAAATACCCTGTTGGTCCCACGGGAGACTTCTCCAGAACCATTCTTCAATCAGCTCCTCGATGGTCGCCAAGTTGTAACGGTCTCAGGGGTTTGGTGGGTTTACTGATTAAAACATGGATGGTTCAGGAGACTATTTATTCACTTCAAAAGTTCACCAAGATCTCGGGTTGAGAGGAACGTCGAAAACCTAAATATCATATGCACTAATGAGCACCAGGACAGTCTATCACTTGATATAATGGGCGATTAAATTACAAATGAGCAAAGAAAAGTAGGTACAACTAACATGTGACCTGAAAGGTCGGTCAACAAATCATAAAATAATATAAAAGAGTTTTACCCACCTAAATATCATATGCAGGCACAGGCCAAGATGTTCCAGAGGAACATTGGGCACATAGGAAACCAAAAACACAGAATTTGGGTTCGATCAACGTGGATGTTAAATTATTATTCACTTGGTTGAGAAAACTGCCCGTTCGAGAGTGAAATGACCAGCGCAAGCCATTTCAGAAAATCCCCTCTCCACAACAACTGACCTAGGCGCGCACACGGATTTTGAATCTGTGTGAATGAATAGTTGGTTGCCTAGCCTCCCGAAGAATATTTGATAATTATTATTATATTTAAAAGAGAGCATGGGCGGCGACATTGATTTGTTACACATACATTTTGATACATTTCAAAAAATCAAATTAAAATGTTCAGAGATTTTTTCTTACTTCAACATGTCGAATTTTATGTAGGTACTTATTGTGACTAACTTGAGCGAGAACTCTTCTTAAAATTTGTATTTTATATTGTCGATTTTGTTATGAATAAAATGTGCTATGAATGAAGCATATATGTATCATTTTGATGATTCCCAGCCGGTGTTGCTTTCGTTTCAGGAAAAGCCTTAGCAAACCTGAAACTGCCCGGAGTTGGGGCCCTGTCCCAATCGACGATATGCAGGTTCGAGTCTCTCACGCTCTCGCACAACAACATGATAGCACTCAAACCGATCCTGCAAGCCTGGCTCGAAGAGGCGGAGGCGCAAGCGAAAAACAAGCGGAGAGATCCGGATGCGCCTAGCGTTCTTCCGGCTGGCGAGAAGAAAAGGAAAAGGACCTCCATAGGTACGTACACTCAATTCAAGATCTATTAACTTCTATAAGGTTACCTCATACTATAGCATTAGGGTGCGGGAGTGCGCGGAGAGGCGTGACGTCACTGTTTCCCCGCCACGTGATTGTAGATTTCGTTTGTGTCACTGTCAAATGGATTGAAAATTTTTTTGAATTTGAATTCGAAAGAATCGCGAATTTTAGACTTTAGTTGAAAACATGGTGACAAGAAGACTGAAGATATCTTTGAAAGAGGGTGAGAGGTTGTATAATAATCATCTGCTCTTGGGCAGCCTCCACATGAGATTCACATAATTCCGAAGGAAAATGATGAGCTGTGGCAATGTGAATGTCCCTGTGAAGCAGGCATGTCATGGTTTTGTAAACACATTTTATAGGGACTTATATTGACAGGTAGGAAGGTGCACTTTTGATCTATCACACACAGATGTAAAAAATACATGAAATTTCAGGAATGAAGACTTGTAATATGTGAAGCTGCATATATAACACACAGAAGTGGTGAAAATATAAAAAGAGAGTAGATCAATCAATGATCTATTATACAGCAAAACCATTTCAATAGTTCTGCTACCCGTTTATTAAAAGAAGGAAAGTGACCCCCTAAAATCATTCTCCTTTTATACAGGGTGATTCACATAACAACCGACATAGGGCAGGGGCATGTAGGGGGTCCCAAAATATGGCAATTTAACGCAACTTACCTCTATACCAAGTTACTTCCCTAAGGAGTTATAGGCATAGCACTAGCAGCATGTCAACTTGCTCGTTAAAATAAAACTTCCCGTTCATTTTAAAAACACTCAAACAACAATTACTTAATTGAACAACTCACTTGCCTCATTGTCAAGTTTGACGTTTATTTTCATAGCCAACTTTTGAATTTTCGATGATTTTAAATAACACACCTAGAGCGCGCGTTTTCAGTTATTCGAGTTTTTGATGAAAATGATGAGGTTTTTAGAAAAATTACTAGAGTAAGAAAAGTTTCAGAATTAAATTGCCCACAAAACAAAGCAAAGATTTTTGAAATCCATCAAGGGTTAACAAAATTATTTTATTATATTTATTTATTATATTAGAATCATTCAATTTATCCAGAAGGAAATCCTCTTTAGTCAATTGTTTCTTGTTTCTCAGAAATGATGGCCTAATCAATTTCAAGATATTTCTTCACATCCCTTGTCAGCATGCTCTTATACACCATAATTCCATCATTAGGTTCAGACTTCCCAATAACATTTTCTTTATTAAAAAATGCTTTATCAGTAGCTCAACCTCCATATCACTCAATGCCAACAGTAATCACTCCTAATGGAATATTGCAATAAGAATTTGACTGAGTTTCTGTAATGTGTCTGTACAACAGGAGTACTGAGGAACATAACATATCTTTCTAGATTTCTGTTTTCAGTCTTTTATACTTGCTGCATGTTATGGGAAAACAGTGAACTATCTCGTGGATACAAAAACATATTGGAAAACTTCAAAATTTTTCAAAATTCACTGGATTGCACAATGCTAAATTTGTTTGTTCTGTTCATCACCTCCGCCATTTTAATTTTGCTGTTCGACAAAAGACGACTGGGGAGACAGTGACGTCAGGCCAGGTGAATATGAGGCAACCTTGTAGAGTTAAATAGCTTTGCACTCAATTTTTGTTTGTGACGACTTTCTGAGATGATTTGAGGTGTGTATCACCGGTGATACATGCCAACCATGGTGTGCATCACCGGTGGTGCTCGCCTGCAATGATGTGCATCACCGGTGATTCACAATCAGAAAGTCATATTCTTGCAGCTGCACCAGAGAAGCGGAGTTTGGAGGCGTACTTCGCAGTGCAGCCGCGGCCCTCTGGCGAGAAGATAGCCGCGATCGCGGAGAAGCTAGACCTGAAAAAGAACGTGGTGCGTGTGTGGTTCTGCAACCAGCGGCAGAAGCAGAAGCGTATGAAGTTCGCGGCGCAACACTGACCAGATGTTAATTTCGGGTTCGGAGTGAAATAGTGGTTGGAGTAGTGAGGTTTGCGGCGGACGATTTTTCAGAGACGGGTTTTTTCTGCGAAGCGAAATATGCTCAAAGCAATGTACATAAAAGTCGCACCCTTGATAGGTTAGTTTTTGCTACGGATGCAAAGAACTGGTAGTTTCGGAGCCAGCAAGATTCCTTCGTATTCATATTCAGGTGATCTGAGTAGCCAGTAAAGATATATTAGAGAGTTGAAGTGTTGTCATGAACGTTAACGTAAACGTAGAAATTGACAGCTACGCATGCGCATTTTCCAATTCTTCACGTTTGCGTTGTTAGTGGGCTTACGGGTGTACGTTATCTCATGTTCCTTCACGTATACCTTAAATATCAACGTACGTTAACCAAACTATACTCGAAATATGCCGATGAGTCAAAATTATCAAATTCGAGATCACCAACGAGTTCTGCATCAAGGAGTCCTCTAATTTTGACAGGAATAAATGTTCGAATCTAAACACACAACCAAAAATGACCAATACAAACCGAAAACAAAATGTATTATTACGTTATGAAAGTGACGACCAAAGTGGCGACTTCAACTCAATTTAACGACAATACGTAAACGTTATTTTTCGCACATTAACGTCTACGTGGAGGTCTACGTACAGTGATTACTTCAACTCTCTTTCATGTTATGAGTGTCCCATTCCCGATGTCCCTACGAAATTTTGAAGTCGTTTTTGAAAATAGTGAAACTCATCTGATACCGCAAACAACATTTTTATAGCCCTCTTCGTTCCTGAAAAACAGGGCGAAACTCTTTGTGCTTTTAGGTGAGATATACGGGAGGAAGGAGGAAGCACCAAGCGGGATATGAGAGTTTTGTTTATCAATGTTTCTGATTCTTAAGAATTGTTAAATATTTGTGAAAGTTTTGTTCTGAAAACCGTACTGCATAGATCACTGCAGCATCGTTAATTATACAGGGTGAGTCATGAGGAACTGTACATACTCCTACCACGAATAGAGGCACCTGAGGGGAATACCTGATGACCATCAGAAAGTGTCTGCTCCTCTTCTTCAATATCCCTATAATGTTCAAAGAACATCGTGCGTTCCTACTACTCTCTAATCGACTGATTCAGTTAGAATTAGGAAAATCCAGGACCGTTCTTCAAACATTGTACTACTTCAATTTATATCAAAAAGTTCATCCTGTATATGGTTTTTGTAAACTGTGACAGGGAATATTCAGAGGTCACAAACGAACATCAAAAATACAATATCCAAAATTTTTCTCACGCTTTCAAAGATTTTTTTTTGAACGAAACATTTAAAAAAAAAACAACAAATTCATTCATTTGAAAATTGATACTTCCGAACGCATAAATTTCACGAATGAGAGTAAGACTTACATTCTCAATATTTTAGCTCAATGGAAATCATCATGTTCTTCTATTTCTAGGCCAAGATTTCGTCTTTTTATTTTTTTGTAGAGGGTATAATAATCACCCTGTAGATCTTTTACGAATCAGTGGATAGGGGGGTATCTGTATGGATGTTGATGATGGCCATCGATTTGAATAATTTTATGATTATTAATTCTCAATTTTATCGATTGATTTGTTTTATCAAGTTATTTTATTTCGATGCTTGGTATTACTACCCAGCATTAACCTTTCTTGAGCAAATCACGTAAGATCAATTGCTAAAAGTGCATCTCAAAAACTTGGTTTTTTGTTTCGGGCCAGGAGCTATTTCACTTCCAGTCAGCTGCTTATGATCTATAAAGCACTGATCCGACCTGTCCTGGAATACTGTTCCCATATTTGGAGTACAGCACCCAAACATACCCTGAAACTGTTGGATCCTGTCCAAAAAAAGGGCAATTCTTCTCGTCGGTGATGCCTCGCTTACAAACTCACTCACTTCTCTGGAACACCGTAGAAGAGTTGGCGAACTAGCTCTATTTTATAGATATTTCGATGGACGATGCCCTTCTGAAATATGAACAATTGTTCATCCATTGGCAGTCCCCGCGAGATTAACCCGTCGAGTTAGGCTTCGCACCCCTTCGTGGTCACTTTGGAGACCTGCAGAACATCTCTTTCCAAAGACTCGTTCATCCAACGAACAGCGAGGCTCTGGAACACATTGCCAAGGGAGGTGTTCTCCGAGGCATATAACCTCCAGAAATTTGAGAAGAACACCAATTCCTACCTTATTTCCCTTGATTCTCTTGATGTTCTCTGAACATTACAGGATATCCCTTTTCGTGGGAACCAGAACATAAAAAAAATACAGAAGAATAATTATCATCATCCTTTGTTATAGTTATGAAAGAAAGATCTACAGGGCCATTATTACACCCTCCACAAAAAAATGAAATGACGAAATCCAGGCCTGGAAATTAAAGAACATGATGATTTCCATTGAACTAAAGCATTGGAAATGCCAGTCTTACTTTAAATCGTGAATTTAGGCGTGGCGAAGTATTTAATTTCAAATAAATGTATTTGTTGCAAACATTTCGTATTTTCTTAGAATGTATCGTTTTTTAAAAAATTGTGTAAAAGTTTGAGAGAAATTTCGAATATTTCATTTTCGATGTCTGTTTGTGACCTTCGAATGGGCTTATATCACAAAAAAAATTTATTTCATAATTCTATAGAACTCACCCAAACTAGCTCACCACCGCAAACTGTTTCTTGCTGTGAGCTATACCTACGTTTAATAAAAAATTATTGAAATTCCCGATTTTTCGGACCTCTGAAAACGAGGCGATGATGTGACGTCAAAACCCTAATACTGAAACAAGACTATTCCAGACAAAAATGAATGTTACATGATTTCTGACAGATTGAATTAGCGCGAGATCACAGTTGAAAGAATTAATATAATATATCAGTTGCCTCAGTCTCCGTCGGGCGTTTGGTGTTTTCTTTCAACTATGGCGAGATGAGGTTTCTACGTCATAAGAGGGTCCGTTTTCAGAAGGTACTATTATTTTTCTGCAACCGACACAAAAGTCGTCCATTTTGATCCCAAAATTAGCTCTTAAGTTGACGTTTCTACTACTGACACATAAATAGGTATGTTGCTAGGCAACATATTTAGTTCCTATAGGAGCTAAAGTTGAATTTTAGTTCCTAGGAGCTGAAGTTGAACTTTAGCTCCTAGGAACTAAAAAGGATGTACAGGACGTCATCAAGAATAAACAACATTGTGACGGTTGATTATTTGGGTTGAGACTTATACTTACCTGATTTGTTTCCGATTTCAGCAGACTTTGGCATTCCATACCCATGCTGGAGATATAAATACGCCTTATTATAGTTTAGTATTGGAATTGTAAACATTAAGTATTAAGTATTTTTGTTTTGATCAGGGAAGCCTTCGAGATTCAAATACTTGCTTGATCTGTATTTCATTCGTTATTCTCGGGATGGATAACTTGTTTTTGAATAATCACGGCAAGCAATAGTTTTTTTGACTCAAACAACGATATTGTTTAGCTCCATTTGATTATCAAGTCAAACACAGAGCGTAGTATGGAGAGGAATGAAAAATCACTATTATCATTGTTGATATGCTCACTAACCTAACATTTTCCACGTCTTGTTCCTATAGCTGGCACTGGCGCGGTATTTGCCGTTAGATCACCAGGTCCATGCACAAATATGTCACTCTGTGGTTGTATTTATATTGAAACTTCAATTCCAACATTCTTGAAAACCTAAGCTGCTGTTAATGCAGGTAGAATATTCTCACCACATGGATTATTTGTCAATATTTGTTGCATTTCATACATATGGCACGGCATTGGTGCGGTTACTTCACATGTTTATGTGAGTTAATTGTTTCGGTTGCAGAAAAAATATAATATTTTATTCGGATCAAAAGTGACTTTGTTCGACTCGCAAATTTTGCTTTCGCTCGGCTTCGCTAAACGCTTCGCCTCGCAAATGCAAAATTCGCTTGTCAAACAAAGTGTCACTTTTGATCCAAATAAAACAATCTACTATTATGTCCAAAAATAAAACATTATTTATGTATATAAGGATCAATATAAACATGAGTTAAAAGTTCTACTAAGGTGTACACGCCCATTTACCCTGTCACAGTTTACAAAAACCATATACAGGATGAACTTTCTGATATGAATTGAAGTAGCAAAATTTTTCGAGAACGGTCCTGGATTTTCCTAATTCTAACTGAATCAGTCGATTAGAGAGTAGTAGCAGGATATCTCATGCGAAAATCTGACAAATCGAAGAAGCTGTTGGAAAGTTATGACCAAAATATGTTTCTGTCAAATCCCATAATTCACAATATACAGGGTAACTCACGGTCGATGGTACGTTAGACGTTTATGGAGAACGGGACATAGGATCATTCTGAAATTTTGGTTACTCACGTAGTTGCTCTTGGTCTATCGATCTAAAATATTTTCAGCTCTGCGGCGTTGCCGCTTCTATCGAAAAGAAGCAACAACTTTGTTATTTTAAATGGAACACCCTGTATTTTATTGCATTTTCAGATTCTCTCTGAATAGCTGATTTCATCGATGCATGACACTTGGGGTCTAGCGGAAATGATTACAGAGATATAGGGTGTGAAAAATCGACATTTTTCAACTTTAGGAATTTTTTTTGTCGAAACTATTCATTATTGGTCAAAACGGCTCACATGTCCCTATCTCAACTTTTGATCAACTATCTACTGACATTTACAAACAAATACAGGGTCGTGCAGCATTTCAGAATCCTGATCACCCGGTATATGTCCCAATTAAATATCAGTAGATAGTTAATCAAAAATTGAGATAGGGACATGTAAGCCGTTTTGACCAATAATGAATAGTTTCGACAAAAAAAATTCCTAAAGTTGAAAAATGACGATTTTTCACACCCTATATCTCTGTAATCATTTCCGCTAGACCCCAAGTGTGATGCATCGATGAAATCAGCTCTTCAGAGAGAATCTGAAAATGCAATAAAAT